TTTCTTATATAGGAAACATTATTTCTGATTGGCTTAATGAACTGACCTGAATTGGAATGTTTATTATGTGAAGTGCCTTGAGACGACTCTTGTCGTGATTTGGCGCTATATAAATAAACCTGAATTGAATTGAACTTTAAGCCCCATGAGATGTCTAAGCTGCAGCTGTTACACACCTGCTTAGACTCCTTTAAAACCTGGATGGCTGGGAGCTTTCTACAGCTGAATGAAGATAAGACTGAGATCCTCATCTGTGCCCCAGACAAGCTGTTTCCCATAGTCAGAGACTCTCTTGGTCAGCTTGCTTCTCACACCAAACCTTCCGTCAGGAATCTTGGTGTGACCTTTGACCCAGCTCTCACCGTGGATTCTCTTGTGAGTTATCTTGTTCGCTCTTCCTTCTTCCATCTCAGGAACGTTGCTAAGCTGAGTTCCATTCTGTCCCGCTCTGAATTTGAGACAGTTCTCCACACCTTCATCTCCTCACGCTTAGACTACTGTAACTCTCTTTTCACGTGTCTGAGAAGAACCTCCCTGAACCGTCTGCAGGTGGTTCAGAATGCCTGTGCTCGACTTCTGACCAAGTCCTCCAAACACACCCACATCACCCCGCTTCTCCTCCAGCTTCACTGGCTGCCAGTCAACTTCAGGGTTCATTTCAAGATCCTGGTTCTGGTCTATAGGGCCTTACATGGACAAGCACCATCTTACATTGGTGATCTTCTTAGTCCCTACACCCCCAGCAGGTCCCTGAGGTCCAGTGATCAAAGCCTACTGGTTGTGCAGCACCAGGCTAAAGACCAAAGGTGAAAGATCATTTGCTGCTGTGGCCCCCAGACTCTGGAACTCTCTCCTCCTGGGCCTGAGATCAGTGGACTCAGTGGTCTCCTTTAAAAAGCAGCTGAAGACTCAGCTGTTCATGCTTTGGTGTGACCTTCATCACCACTCTCTCTTTATTCTGCTCTCCCACCTATTCCACCTTCCTCAGGATCCACTGATTTCCCTCTTTCCTACTCACTCTCTCTTTCGGCAGCTGGAAGATAAAGATGGAGAAGTCGTTTTAATGGACAGAAGACATCGACGAGAACAGTGAGGCTCAGGAAACAACTTCATACTGCTGGAGACTATCCCTGGAAAGGAGGTGTCCTTCCCCTTTGCTGCCTTGAACCGCCCCTTTGGTTGCCTCTCCCGGTATCTGCTAGGGTAGACGATTCGTTGTTTGTCTCGCTCTGGCAGGCGATGCCAAAGCGCGATGAGTCTGTCTACCCTGCTGTCAGACAGTCCCTGGAGACTCCTGAGCTCCACCAGGGCCTGAGCCAGCTTCAGGACATGCTGGTATCCTGGCTGGCCGTCAGGACCCTGGATCTCCTCCTGAGAAACAAAGAAAATGGGAAAAAGAAGTCAAATTTCTGAAATATCTCTGAATACATGAAAAAACAAAATCAGGTCAGTCGGCTGTGAAATGATTAGCCGAGGGGGATCAAAGACCTCTGAATCAGAGGAGTGTTGGTCGCCAGGAGTCTGGCTTCCAGGGATCTCGGGAGGGGCGTGATGCGCAGGGGCGGCTGGATGTGATGGCTCAGACCCGGGTGTGTCAGCTGGAACCCCTGATCGGGCTGCTCCTGAAGTGCTGGTGGACGGGACCTCAAGGACGAAAGCGGCGACGTGGTCGTCCACGTCCTCCTGGATACCGTCGTCCACCTCGTCTAGGTCGGAGATTGCAGCAGCATCGTCCGGAGCGTCAGGGTCCACGCTGACGTCCTCAAGCACGCGGCCTGTCTGCTGGAACAGGTACTCCACCCCGATGAGCTCACCTGAGATTTTGTGGAAATGTAAACGGTTCAAAGCCCCTTCTTAGCAAAGCATTGGTGCACAGTGTGATTAAAAATCAAGAGTAAATAAAGCGTGTTTCTCTGTTCCTCTACCTGTGTAAGCAGCAGGCTTGGTGAAGTCCTTAACCATCTGATGACCAAGCACCCTTTGGCTCTTCTGGTTAGGAGCGTGTCTGAGGTGGTCACTGTAGGACAGCAGAGGCGCCTTGTGTCCCTCAGCTGCCGCTGCGCGGTCCTCGTTCCACCTGACGCATCAATCAGGAACGCCTGGAAGTACTTAGCACCGGCCGACGTTCCTGCGTGATTAGATGAGAAAATCAGCTTTAGCTTTTACTGACACCTGAAAATGAACAGTTTACAGAAATAAAACAGGTTTCTCACCTGGGATGAAGCGGTTCAGGTGGAGATGGAAGGACTCCAGGGAAGTGGAGCTCCTCGCTCAGCGATAGGACGAGCAGTCTGACCCCTCCTTTTGTCAGACCGCCCGTCTGGGTGTACAGCTGCACGCCTGGGTGGTCCTGGATGCAGCTGAGGTGGCGCCTCTGCATGTCCCAGATGTCCTGGATGCGGAGAGCGTCAAGCAACTGGAAGTTCAGCGTGTTGTGTCCTGTGGGCCCTCTGAAGGTGTCGAGGAGGTTTTGGAGGAGAAGCGTCGTCTCCTCGGCTCCACGCATCCTCCTGCGGCAGTGGAGCCTCCATTCCTCCTTGCCGATCCGCTGGATCACATCAGCATCCATCAGGTTGACCATCACGTGCGTCCCCTCCAGCTCGGACCGCTTGGCACCCATGAGATGGCGAGCATTTTCGGCGTCCACCTCGAAGATGCAGTGATAGGTAATTTGATTTCATCCCATATTACCTTAAAGGACGACACACCCTTTGATAGAGAGAGAGAGTAAATTGATTATTTGTAATGTCCATGTGTGTGGCTGAACCAGCCCCCACTCTGCTCAAGCCTCAAAGCTTTCTCCTCACTTGCTCTGTATACCTGCATTCTTCAATTATCTGGTAGATAATATTTAACCTCCATAACCCTGGAACCTGAAATAAACACACTTGACAACAAGGAAGACATTTTACACTGAATTAGCCAAATGAGGGGGAGATCACCGAAATGACACATAACTCTCTCCAGAGCTAGCTGCCAGGCGACTCCCCCCAGTCCTCAGAGTCTTCAGTGGTTTTATTCAAGCAAAGGGTGGGGGGGAGAAGGCGGGCCTTCTCAAGTTACAGAGGTACAGAGTTTTCTCAATTAACATCCTTGCTCAACCTTTTTATGAACAGCCAACACAGAGATTCATGATGTGTAATGGGCATCTTTTAGGTCTCAAAAAGGTACATTTATAAAAATACCCAACATGCAGTAAGACAGCTGCCTCATGAAGGTGGGATCCAGCTCGTGGCTCTCTGTGGTGACACCTGATGTGAAGCGGCGCATCAGATGCCAGATGTCCAGCCGAACTATGAGCTGTTCCCACTCCTGCGACAGAGAGGTTAGTCATTGGAGTGCACCACAGTCAAGATCAGAACCCAAAAATCATTCACTGCTCTATAAATTGTCTTTTACAGAAATTAATTTGGGTGTCTGATTGGTTTAACATTTTCAGAAAGACATTGGGTAGAAATTCAGGTGACCTGGTGATCCATTAAAGTAATTCACAACAAAATAATGTATCATCGCGATTAAAAATCAAATAAACAACTAAAGAAGTCAGTCAGCAGTGATGCAAGTTTACACCAGAAATAAGGTCTTGGACACGCCGTCCTGTTTGCAGCAGTCGCGGTCCACGTACATGAGCTGAGGGGCAGGTACCTCGGCTAATTGGCACTGCCTCATCAGTCCGGCCGCCATCTTGGACAGGCCCTTGGAGCCCTCGCAGCAAGTGAGGATGCTCATGAGGACCTGGCCGTGCTCGTTACCCACGTTGGAAGCCCAGGCGGCCCTGCCAGAGGCGACACCTGCAAGCTTCTTCGTCACCTGCACACAGAGAACTTCCTGCGTAAAGACCAGCAGAACTGTTGTTCACAAGCAGCAAGTAAACACAAAGCAGTGACCGACCTTATTTGTGGAATCCATCTTTAGGATGGATCCGAAGGTGGACGTGATCCTGGCCTTGTACTCGTCCAGCCGAGTCAGCACATCATAACCGTAAACGGTCAGCAGCCAGACGGGTGAGGGCACAGGGGGCATCTGGGGAGGTGGTGTGATCTGCCCCCTCGTGCTGCCCAAGGCCAGGAACTGCTCGCAGACGCCGAGGTACTCAATCGCTTTCCGCATCCAGGCGTCAGAATGCTTCTCCCACAGGGTGTTGCACAGCTGATTGGCACTGTTGCCCAGAGTGCGCGATCTCAGCATAGCAACCACCCTCTGGTCACAGGACAGCCTGCGTGAACAAAGCAAACACTACCACATCAAACTCAGCTGGACACACCCACGTGTGCACACATTTTCACTTCTTTGATACTTGTACGTGAGTACAGCTGGAAACTGGCAGATGTAGGTGGGGGGCAGCTGCCTTACGATGCCCTGTGACCACCCTCCGACCTTCTTCTTACATCGACGGCACTCCAGGTACTCAGTGGCCATGAGATACCAGCCGTCGATGTCCAGGACCCTCCGGCTGGTCCTGTAGAGCCCAGCCTTTTTCAGGATGGTGCTGCACAAAGGCTGGGGGCACGTCAGCTGCAGGTGCCACATCCTGTGAGGCATCCACAGGAAGAGCCGACATGCAAAGAAGGGGTCAGGGGAGGCGGGAGGCTGATTGTAGATTGCCCGGGGCTGGGGAGGATACCACCAGGGACTGAGCTCCGTGATGAGCCGCGGCCTCCCAGCACCGTCCCTGGTGAACAGCACCCGGTCGATCCTCTCCTGCTGTTCTGCAGTCAGAGCTGCCTGCCAGGACTCAGGCAGCAACTAGAGAGAGAGAACAAAGCAGCAGAGTAAGAAAGGCCTGAGGGAACCCTTAATGTCTGATGCCTCACCTTAGAGCTGGCAGCAACCAAGCAAAGTGTAACTGAACCCAAACTTACAACATCTGTTCACATCTGACTGTTACCAACAAAATATGAAATGAACACATTTCTGTCACTTACTTCCCCCTTGGTCAGCTACCGCCTGGACCAGCTCTTCGTCAATGGGCTCCCCAGATGCTGTAGGTGGATGAGCTGGTCTGAAGGAGGCTGGAAATCAAATCATCAAACATCAGGCTTCTGCTCCAGAAAGCGTGAGTGTGAAACACTCAATGTGCTAACCTTGAGCTAAAGAATACAAATGAGATCATTAAACAGGTTCCTGGGTTCGACTCCTGGCCGGCCAAATCGAGACCGAAGCATCTCTGGGCAAGATGCTGAACCCCCAGCCCTCCGGCAGACCCCGGAGCCACCAAAACAGAAAGTTGAGCTAGGGGAAGGGACACGGGGTGGCCCAGAAACAATTGAATGATTGCTAATTGCTGATTTTTGATTCTCATAGGCAGATGATAGCACACACACACGGGTGGCAACAGCGGCAACGGTGGAGGCGCTACAAAATACTGGTAGGTTAGGTTGTTAATGATAGAAACAATTGATAGTGATAATGATAACAATAACAATCATGATCATGTCGTGGCAGAACCTAGCTGCTGTGGACCCGCCACCAGATGGATGAGCCACACAGGCGACGTGCAGAACCGCCGTGTTGACATGTTCAGGAGCAGAATGAGCCCAGTTGGAAATGAAGGTGTGCATTAGTCTGGGAGTACTCCACCTGCAGAGACCTACCAGCAGAGGGCGTTAGATAACATGCTTCATTACTGCTGCTGCAGAAGAGGCTGGTTCACTTAAAGGCCCCATGTGTGAAATCCATTGAAATCATGATGAAATAATGTGACTCTTTAGCACCACGCAGTTCACAGAAGGTATTGCAGCTGCGGTGGCCCACTCCTGAGTTTGACTGTATAATCAATTTCCAACCCGTCAGTGGCGGCTGGTGAAAAATATTTTTGGTGGGGCTGTGCAATTTTTTTAAACAAACTTGTGCTTTCTGAGCTTTGTGCACAACTTCACTATTTCCTGAATTAAGCACAGCTCTTTTATTTCCTGTCTTACATCATTGGACAAACTGATTAATCCAGGAGTGTCTGACTATTGGCACGCTGCCTTGCAGACCAAGGTTGAAAAATACTGCATTAAATTGCACATAAAATAACATGACCATAAATGGTAAATAGGCAATGCAAGAGGCAAGTAACAAAAACATTTTGTTTAATTTCAACATTTGAGTGAACACGAAAAATTATGAGCAGGTCACTGTTACAGTAATGGTAGTAAACACTACTTAGACAAAATGCCAGAAATTTACACTGTTAGGACTTATGGAAAGTGGAAACACTTTCATAGGAAATAATGTCATCAGTATCCTCTTACAAATGTCATATTTCCCACTTTTTGGGACAATAACACATTTCTGGTTCTCAATGAGATGTTTTTACTTCAAATGTGAAAACATCTCATTGAGAATCAGAAATGTTTTATTGTCCCAAAAGCTGGGAAATTTGTTTGCTGCAGCAGAAGTGTAACAAGTAAAATGGAATCAGATTGATGTATGTACAAATTTACTTGAAATACACATTTACATGATTAAATATGTATAATAGGTATGTGTGTTGAAATTAGTTTTTACAGTTATTGCACATTAAACAATGTACATGTTATTAAACAAATGTCCCGGTTTGTGGGTCAACCAAGGATTTCAGATTCTGATTGTCTTGTTTACAGAAATGTAATGTACAGCTTACCTCTGCACCCAGCTGCTATTCTCCCTGTTCAAACGTCCTCCGTTTCTTTGTTGGCTGCTGCACTGATGCGCTGCATTCCTCAGTCAGAGAATGAATGGAGTCCCCAATGAGACACAAGTTCCACATCCACCTTCTGTGGATCCCAGCTGTTTTGAATAACAAACACAGAAAGAAAAATAACGCATTAGCGTGATTGCATCCAGCTAGCCACTGCTTCCTGGTGTACCAATTTTGGGAGAAGCGTCGTGTGTACAGTTTACCCTTCTCCTTGTCCTGCTGGCTTATCTTTACGTCGGGCTGATCTGGTCCAAGCTCTTTGACATTAAGTTTTTCCACCATAGTTCTCCTCTCGAACGGATACTGGAGAAGAGACCGAACAGAATTCAGTGGCTGCTGAGATCCGGTATCCATGTTGTAGGCGCACTGGCGTCCATGTCTACGTCTGCGTCATGACCGTCACAAGTCACGACCAAAAACGTGCTGGAGTCGAGACTCTCCGAGTTCTACCGAACACCAACGAAAGCCTTGGCAGTAGCTCTATCGCCCATCATGCTTCTGAAACGTTCTGAAACAACGTCGACGCTGATTGGATACATTCCCATTCCTACCCTTTGATTTTCTTGTCAGCAATTGGACAACTGGTCCCATCTTGTTTGGGCGATTGAAAAACAGCACACAGCCTCCACCGCTCGGCAGAGACCGGCAGAGATCGGCAGAGACCAATATATGTTTATGTTTATTCATTTTGCAGACGCTTTTATCCAAAGCGACGTACAATTTTTATAACCTGTAGGGCATGTTGTGATCTGTGGGGGAAACCGGAGTACCCGGAGGAAACCCACGCATGCATGGGGAGAACACGCAACTCCACGCAGAAAGGCCGCAGCCGAGTTTTGAACCTGCGACCTTCTTGCTGCGAGGCAACAGTGCTAACCACTGCGCCACCATGCAGCCCAATATAGATATATATATATGATTTATTTTTGTTACAAAACACACAATTAACTTAGAATATGTGATTATTGTTAATTTTATTTATTTTTTTAAATAAAAATTAAAAACACAGGGGAAACTGGGAGGGCGGCACCCTATCGCCCTCTCCTGGCCAGCCGCCACTGCAACCCGTGTAGCCTAACCCACACAAAGCTTAAAACAAGCTACTCGACCTTTTTAAAAAAATTCTGTCCCCCGTGTCGGGAGATCGCTCTTCTGGCTATTTTCACGATATTTGTGATAAATGTTTACGGGAAAATTATGTCATGTAATGTAATCATGTTATACCTGTTCACTCTTGCAGCAAGCTTATTTATCGTTTTTGAAAGTTATGTAAAAAGATGTAATCTCACTCAGTTTAACATCTTTTATTTGAGCTAGTTTAGTCCTCATAATGGACTATAAGTTCTGTGAATTTGGAAATATTTGCTCTTGACCACCTAAGTGAAACAGAATATTTCAGGGGAACATAATTTCCCACAACACCCGTTTCACGTGGCTCATGGTGAGCTCGATGTAAACAACGTGGCCGCCGCTACCAGCTTATATGTATATGGAGCGATCACTGGCTGCTCGTTAGCCACAGCTGGCGAAGGAGTGTTGGTGAGCCGGGGACACGCTGGAGATCAAGTTAACAATGTTGTCTTATCCACCAGCTAGGGTTGTCACGGTGTGAAAATTTAACCTCACGGTTATTGTGACCAAAATTATCTCGGTTTTTGGTCGAGCGCTGGAGCGTGTTGGGAGAGACTGCAGGCTGCAGGAAGAGAGGAGACTTGAGTAGAAGTACTTTGGAACGGACACGTTGGGACTGGGTCGGGAGTTCTGGTACTAGGAAAAGATGAGTGAACAACTTGAAGTGAGTTTGGAGTCAGAGACACTAATCGGAAGCTGGCGTCCAGATAATAGCGGGCGGGGATCTGAACACATGCAGCTTCCTTGTGTTGGACAAGATGAGGAACTGACACATTTTATGCATCTCTAAAAAGAATCTCTCCCCTACAATGACACAATAACACTAATCCCAAAACCCAACAAAGATAAATTGCTTCTAGATAACTGGAGACCCATAACGCTCCTATGTAATGATACTAAATTACTGGCCCGTGTATATGCTAACCGCTTAAACAATTGTTTATAATGGGTGAATATCAGTCAGCCTTTGTAAAGGGTAGAAATATACACAATCATATTCGGTGAATCCTTGATATGCTTGATTATAACGAGCTGATAGCATCTGAAAGCTTGATTTTGTTTCTAGACTTCTGTAAAGCCTTTGATACGGTTGAGCATCCCTTTCTGTTAGCTACACTACATCACTTGGGTTTTGGGGACAAAGTTTGCAAAATAATAAGAATGTTTTATTCCGACATATCTAGTTGTGTCTCTCTTAATCCAGGAATGACCAACAGATTTGAGGTTGAAAGAGGTATTCGACAGGGATGTCCGATCTCCGCCAAACTGTTCATACTGACCACACAGTTGTTAGCGCTTGCAATCCTAAAAGACCAACATTTAAAAGAAACAAATATTTTTGATAAGGAATTTAAAATAAGCCAATTCACTGATGATACAGACCTATTTCTAAAGGATAAATCTATGGTAGTGCACGCCCTCAACACCACCTCGTTATTTTCCCAGGCTTCAGGACTGTCTTTAAATATCAACAAGTGTGAATTACTTCCGGTTCATTCATGCAATGAATCGGAGATAGATTCAATAAGGGTGGTAACCGAAGTGAAATATCTAGGTATAGTTATGACCAAAAACACAATAAGGAGAGAAGAAATAAACATCTCTAGTTGTATATCAAACATGAAATGTTCTCTCAGTAGAAGGCTAACATGAGTCCTAACTATTTTTGGAAGAGTCATTCTCTCTAAAGCAGAAGGAATCTCTAAATTAATATACCCCTGCCATTCTCTCTATATTTCTCCCAAAAATATTAAGAAAGCTAGCTCCATAATTTTTCAGTTTCTCTGGAGAAACAAAACTCATTATATTAGAAGGTCCCAATTAGTAAAGGACTACAACAAAGGTGGTGTTAAAGCCCTAGATTTTGAATCCTTAGTTGGAACCTTTAAAGTTAATTGGCTCAAAGCTTGTTTAACTCAGTCTGATTCTATGTGGTTCCATATACCCAAATCTTTATTTAAGAAATTAGGAGGATTGGAATTTTTGGTAAAATGTGATTTCCAGATCAACAAAATTCCAATGAAACTTTAAAACTTGCATATCTTTTGTTTTGGAAAATGGCATTCACGCACAATTTTTCTCCCCACATGTCAACATTACGGAACAACAGAGTAGTTATGGTTAACGGAAAGTCCCTTTACATTAGAAACTGGCATGAGAAAGGTATTCTGTTTATGGACTCAAATGGGAATTTCCTTGATGTTAAATCATTTACACAAAAATTTAACTTTAACTGTCATCAAAAAGAATTCCATAAAGTTTGTAGAGCTGTCCCAGCGGCGCTACAGCTCCTAATACATAATAATATGTTACATTCTAAGGTTTCACCAACACTACCTAATCTTAAAATAGGTGAATTTAGGCTACTGGACAGTAAATTGGGAAATAAAATCATTAATGCAAATTTTAAAGCTATTCTATATCAAGGTTTTACTGCTGGAAGGTTTTTACAAGCCCTTAATAGGGACCAATCCTTTATGGAAGAAGCCTTTTCTAAATTTGTGAAGTGGCCAGTTGCACCCAAAGTCAGAGAAACACATTTTAAAGTAATCAATAATGTTTACCCAGTTGCTGATTTTCTAGAGAAAAGGTTCAAATTTGAAAGTATGCAGTGTACCTTTTGTGACTCAGCCTGCGAGACATTACATCATCTCTTTTTTTGGTGTCCAATATAAACTAATTTCTGGTTGCAAATATATAATTGGATTTCACTAAAAATTAATAATATTCCAAGATTTGAAGTTGATCATATTATTTTCTACATGGATAATCTGCCTCCCTTTATATAAGTTAGTGATTCTCCTTGGGAAATACCATATTCACTGTAGCAAGTGGAAAAACCTATTACCCTCCTTTGCCAGATTTATAAATGACTTTAAACAATATTTTTCCTCGCTTAAGCGTCTAAAATCAAGCCGATTTGCTACAATTTATGACAAAATCTCATCTCTCCTGGTCTTAGACTGTTAGGCTCTTATCTTCTGTGCTCCAGGACTATATTTTTATCTGCAGGAGTATTATTTGGATGTTGTGTTTGCATTAACCCCCGTCTTTATTTTTGTTATGTTCCTTTTGTTTTCACAAATCTATTTTATGTTGTACATAGATGCTGTCATGTTATTCATGAAGTTGTTGGTTTTGGCCGTTTTATTGACGTGACTGTAATCCTCAACGAGAATATGTATCTTGTTCAATTAGAAATTAAAAAAAAACATAATAATAATAAAAAAGTAACGACCCCCCCCCCCCCCCCCCCCCCCAAAAAAAAGCGCACTATCTCCAAATATGGGCATGCGTCCGGGAAGCAATGTTGTACGGCACAGGTAGAAATAGAATAAAGGGACCCTTATTACTGAGCCTGGCGTGTAGCGCTGTGGCTAAACCTGTACCCTTAGCTACAGGGGATCGGGGTTCGATTCCCCAAGCGCCGCCGATGATTGGAACTGGGCTTAAGCAGCAATCCTTGCTGGCGGGATCTGTGCTAGTTAGATAGGTTGAAATAAAGCCTATCCTGCTAGCACTGGTTGCTGCTGGAGCACGATCCATAGGCGCCAGGTTTGTTTTATTACACTTTTATCTCTAATGCTTTTTTCACATTAAACACAACATGTCTCAAGCATGGCCGTAGGAACACACAGGGATTTTTATGCACAATATTAACAAAAATATACATCTCAAACTGCCGTCATGGTTTTCAGTCAGACTAAATGTAATGATGACCACAAACAATCGTGCAGCTCAGCTTGTTTACCAATGATCATGAGAAAAAGAAGCAGGATGAGTGTTGATCAACAGAAAACATGAAGGTAACCAGGTGGA